TTTTTTTTTGCCTTTTTTTTTTTTTTTTTTTTTTTTTTTTTGGTTTTCGGCCTTTTTTTTTTTTTTTTTTGTTTTCGGCCCTTTTTTTTTTTCTTTTTTTTTTTTTTTTTTTGTTTCGGCAACGCCCGTTCTCCTCTCCGCTTTTGTTTGCCAACCCCCTCTTCGTTCATTTCTCACTTGAGGGGTTGGGTTTTGCTTTTTCACAACTGCCCGACTTGCATCGCTTTGAATGTAATGTGAAACGCCATCGAATCCAAAGTCCCAAGGATTGCGATTTTTTTTTTCCTTCTTTTTTTATTATTTTTTTATTATTTAATTCCGCGCTCTAATGCAAATCCCAGCCAAAAAAAAAAAAAAAAAAAAAAAAAAAAAAAAAAACAGCCATTTATTATTACGATGAAGCGTCTGCTTTTCGTTCCTTCTCCTTCTCTCTCTCTCTCTCTCTCTTTCTGGGACTCCAACCTCAGTCTCAGTCTGTGGAGAAATGTGAGACAATTTGGGGTGGGGGAGGCGAGAGAGAGAGAGAAGAGGGCAGAGTGAGCAACAGCCGAAATGGATCTCGAGCCGTTCACCAAGTACTCTCCTTTGGTCACCCCCCCCCCTCTTCCCTATCACTCACTACCACTCTTACTATCATGCAATGCTCTTAATCAAGCTCTGTGGTTGTGCGGTCGGTCTCTGGCTGCGAGACAGTGCTCTTCCCTTTCTCTCTCTCTCACACTCTCTCTCTCTCTCTCTATCATTCTCTCTCTCTGTTGCTCAATCACTGCAACCCGAATGGAGAACCGTCCCTTCTTCTATATTGCTTATTTTTGCAAGCAACGCCACTGTTTTTCCATGCTCACGCATTCTGGTCCAAAGTCCAATCGAGAGCAGGACCACACGACTTGCCGACAATCGGTTGCTGCACAATCTCACAAAACCCCTAAAATCACGTCGCGTTTCGTAATCTGAACGGAGATTCTCTCGACTGCATATTGACAATCCATACCATGAATTCATCATAACTGCATCCCAACAGGATAACACCGGGAGAGAGAGAGAGACCTGTGTCACAGTTGTTGTGTGTGTGTGGAACAAAAGAACCAAGTTCACTTCTTGCGGAGACTTTTCTTTTTTTTTTTTTTTCTTTTTTTTTTTTTTTTTTTTTGACCAGCGACTCGTGATTGTCTTCTCACTGTGTTTGACCAAATGTTTCGTTCTTGTATGTGATTCTCACAGATATTTTTTGAATCAAGATTTTTATCAAGTTCATTGGTGGTGAATTTCCAACACACACCAAACAAAAACAAGGGTCGCCCACTTGCTGCGGCACACTTGTTGACAAGAACACATCTGCATACAAGATGCCAACGCGAGATGGGTCTCGCCATCTCGGCCTCAATGGCGCACAACACAGCAAGCAAGATATAGCCGCAGCAGTACCGCCAGGACCTCCACCAATAGGCAGTGGTGCCAAAATATGGGCGTCGGTGCTCCATCTAGTCCGAAAAGTTGTTCCGTTGGAGCGTTCAGCGCCACCAGCCGCTGTCAATTCAGGCACTGGCTCTTCGCCAATACCAGGCGCTCCGCCCGGAGCATCCCATGCTGCTGCTGCTAACGGTGCTGCACACACTATGCAACCACCAGCTTCCTCCAGCATTTCTACCTCTTCCTCTGCATCTTCTTCTTCTTCTTCCTCCTCCTCCTCTTCCTTGTTAACATCTCATGACATCCCTGCTGCCGTGAAAAAAATCCGTAAATCGCCGCGAAGAACGCGGTATATCGACTCGCTTCGGTTTTGGGTGGGCTGCATTTTGTGGATTGGCCTGAGCATATTCATCGCGACCGTCGACGACTATCCATCGTCCGACGTACGCAATTTGAATCCTCCTGCGGTGCTCTCGTTGGCAGACGCCCTGTTCACCCCAAAATCCGACTTGCCTTGGCTGTCCCAGTTTGTCAGCGGCATTGCCTCTTTACCAGCATTCGCCTCCTCGGCAAGTCCAGGCCCCTCCTTGCCACCAGCCGCTGCACCCTCTGGAAGTGCAAACCACAACCACCACAGCCACCACAGCCACCCACACCACCACCACCACCACCACCAAGGCAATCCTGCCACTCCGCCATCGCCGGCCTCGGGCAGTCTGGACGCAAACTCCGTGCCGGCCCAACTCCCTTTCGCAACAAGCAGCACCGCTTCGTCCGCAATCTCCTCCTTCCTCGGTTCGCTCCCGATCGAGTTGGTGGCAACCCGCGGGCCATGGTCGTCGCTACAATGTCGAAGCGTCACTACATCCACCAACAGCCAGGCTGCTTCGCCCAAAAAGCTGCCCGTCCTGTACTGTGGTTCTCGGGTGTGGATGGCGGACGCCGTCATGTTGGGTTCGCAGCTCGCTCAAGTCGGCAGCGCCCTCCAACTGTCGTCCACAGCGCCGACGCCTTCACCCGTAGCGCCGCATCAGCATTTGCGTGTGCCTCGCTCGGCGACTCGCCAAAACCCTTTTGCACCCTATTCGTACGAAGATGCGCACGCCCTCTTTGGCACCGCGCACCAAGCAGCGCACCACTTTGCCGCACACGAGGAACTCCTTCAGTCCACCTTTCTTAACATTTATCAGCGCGTGTCCGAGTACCGCACGCTGGGTGATTCAGCCTCGCTGTTCAGCCACGATTCGCAATCTGCTCCATCATCATCGGCCTCTGCCTCGCCAAGCAATCCTGACAACGCGGATGCTGCTCCGTCCGAAACGCAAAAGCAGCTCCGAATGTTCCAGCAAGAATGTCAGTTGCCTCCTGCGCCGGCGGGCATCGACCGCCAATGCACCGTTTTCGCCTATCCCCGCATTGCCCATTGGTACGAGCACCTGTCGCATGAGCTGAGCTTGGCCCTGGCCGACGGCTCTGTCAACGAAGCGATTGCCAACGCAAAGCAAAAGGTGCTTGCGCAGCTGTACAATCATCCAAACTCAGAGTTGTGCATTGTCGTGCTGCGCCTCAACAACATGGTGTACACGGGCACGCTTGTCGCTGCAATCGACCAGTCACACTCGATTCTGCGCATGGCACAGCAAGCTGCGGCACGTGTCGAGCAGCGCTTTGTGGAAAAGATGCCCCAGGACACTGTCAGCGACGTGGTTCTTGGCGTTGCCCGTCTTGCAAAGCATTCGGTGCAGCGCCTGTGCATCTTTGCCGTTAGCACCGCCATCCGCACCGTGTCGACTCTGGGCTCGCTGGTGGTCAGCCTCGCCACTGAAATTGGTGGTCGCGCAATGTCCGATGACGCTGCGTACGACTACGACGATGAAAGCGAGTTGTTTGTCGAGGACGGCGAGCAAGAGCTTGTTCCTGCTGCTGGCGATGTCCACCAGCCAGCGCGCACGGACTGCAGCTCATCTGCAGTGGACGAAGCCAGCGCGCAAATTCGGTGCTCTGACGTGATGCCCCTGCAGCCCAGCCCGCCCCACCCGCCGCGCCAGTTGTCAGACGAGGGCATTGCGCAGCTCGAAGTTCAGCTCTCTCGCATGTTGGACATCCTGTCCATCCCCAGCGAGTCTCCCGTTGCGCCCGAAAAGGCTGCGCGCATCACTCAGCTCCGCGACTGTGTCATGAGCCTGCGTGTCGTGCTCGAGTCGATTCGGCGTGGGCGCATTGCTCAGCGCGAAGCCACCGACCACTTCCAGCTCATCCTTTCGCTTGCCGCCCAGTTTGGTGCTTCCATCCCAACCGAGTCGCTCGGGGTTGCCAAAACCACCGGGTCTGCTCAAGACCGGATTGAGGATGCAGCAGCTGCTGCTGCTCAACAGACCACGGCGGACGCGTCGCAGCAAACTCAACCAGCATCGTCGGCCACTCAGCCTGCGCGACCAAAACGCCAAAGCGGCAAGCGTCGTGCTGCCTCGTCGCAGCTGGACCCGTTGGACGACGTGAGTGGCACGAAAGAATCCGTCTTTTTGACGTTGATGGCGTGTTTGGCGCTGTTTGCCACAGTTCGTCGCATCTCCAATCGCTTGTTCCGAGACCCGCATGCGCCGACTTCTGCTACTGCTACTGCTACTGCTGCTGCTGTCTCGTCCGGCTCCGAGCAGGCGGATGATGTCGATGCAGCGCAAACAGCAACAGACACTTCAACTTCCGCAAAGGACTCTGCGGTGGACGCCCGCCTCGTGCCACCACGGCAACAGACCAAGCAGCAACAACAAAAGCAGCAGCAAATGCGCCAGCGCTCTCACAAGACAGAGGACGACTCGCCGCTGCCTCAAGTCTCCGCCTCGACCGCTTCAACCACAACCATCTTTGAAGAGGTGGTCCCGGCGCCCGGCGTTCCAGCAGTTGGCATGGCGCAGCAGTCCACCAGTCAGTCGCTCAGCCTCGCTTCGAATGGCGAGATGCATGCTGCTGTCAAGTCAGTCACGCTCGTGACCACCGCCACCACCACCACCATCCTCGATGCTTCGTCGTCGGACGACACCGTCATGGCGGCTGAGCCGGGAGGCGGGTCTGAAAGTGCCCCGCACAGCGCTCGCTCCTCCTTGTCCGAAGGCACGGGGTCCCAACGCACTTCCATTTCGGCCGACTCTGCTTTCACGCTCATGCCACCGCCTTCACCCCGCTCCACCAAGTCGTCACGTCGCCGCAAGCCGTCCGCAACGCCGTCCATAGACGCTTCTGCGCAAGGATCGCCTGCACCCTCAATCCCCCCGTCGCCTCGCGCCTTCTTTGAAGGAAACTCGTTCGATGCTTGGCCGCCCGCATCCAACAACGGGTCTACTGTTGGCAAGCATCGTTCGTCCGCCAGCGCCAGCAGCAACGGAACTAGCAACGGCCATTCACGCAGCGCCCGCCGTTCGTCGCAACAGCACTCCTCTGCCTCTTTGTCTCATCATCATCCTCATCACGCACCGGCAGCTCATTCGCAAAATGGCGGGTTGTCGAATCCTGGCGCTTACTTTGATCCGCAACAGCACCTGTTCCAACAGCAGCAGTACCAGTTGCAACGTCAGCAGTTATTGCAACAGCAGCAGCAGCAATTCCCGTCGGCATTGGGACAGTCATCTTCATTCGCTCGGCAGCCGCAAGCACAACAGTCGCAGCAACAACAGCACACTGCCTTGGCGTCGCGCTCCGTTCCCAACTTGCCAGGAGATGCATCCTTCACTGCCCAATTTGAAGCATGGCAAAACTATTTGCTGCAAGTGGCGCAGATGGATCCGGCTGCACTCTACGGTCTTTTGCACACGAGTGCGGCAGCAAACGCGATTTCGTCCACGCAATCCGCCGCTGCGGTCGTGTCTGCAAAGCAGGCAGCTCAGCCCAATGGCAATGGTTCCACACGCGCCAGCACGCCTTCGTCTGGCGGCGCCAGTGCGTCTGGTACACCAACCGTCTACCCTGCAGTGTCGCCTGCGGCGACAGGCGCAGCCCCAGTAGGTAGCCTGTCTGCGGCCAGTAGCGTCGAGAATCTCGCGGCTCCAAGCACCACCTCCGACACGTCAACTCCCTCCGCTCTCGCAAGCGAGACTGATCCCTTGGCCTCGGTTGTCTCTTTGCTGCAACAGCAGCAAAAGTGGTTTTCCAGCCAGCCCAATGTTGCCGTTCCGGTCTCATTGCCGGCCGCCAGCGAGACCCCAGATGCGTTGCTCTCGGCCGAGGCGCCAGCACCGAGTGTCCATCCAACGCACGCCGTGACGGTCCCCTTGCAGACCCGTCGCACCCGCTCGTGTGCCTCGTCGTCGTCGTCGCTGCTGCCAGCAGTCGCCACGAGTCTTGCGGTCTCGGCAGCATTTGCACAGTCCGATTCGGTGCTCGGTGGCGTCTCGCCGCCGTTATCTCCCAGCATGTCGTCCGCCCTCTCCATGTCGTCCTCGTCCGACTCGTCCACGACTTCGATGGGATCGTCGTTGTCGTCCATGTCGTCTGCCACCACGTCAACCTCGCCCACCACTCCCCCCGAAAGCAGCACCCTCGCTACCAAAGTGCAAACTTGGAATAGCACCATTGTCCGGGGTGTCTATTGCTGCAATTGCGGCTATGAGGGACACACCATCCGCGATTGTCGCGAACCCACGCTGGACGAAACGATGCGCCAGCAGGCTCAACCACCCGTGCGTTCTGCGAACAACAACGGGCTTTCGGCAACTGGTCCTGCGCCCTCGATGAATCTACAGGAAGCCGCTCGCCTGGTCCTTGCGCACGCCAGCTACCTCGAGCAGATGAACAAGATTGTGCAGCTACAGAACAAGCTCATTCCGCCGCCTGGAGGCCATGCCGGAGGGACCGACGTTCGCGCTGCTCAGCAGCAGCAGCAACAGCAGCTTCCACAAATGCCACCTCGCGTGCCGCTCGCTGCACCGTTTCCGCTCCCACCGATAGCGATTGATCCCCATCTCTTGCAACAGCAGCTGCTGCTCCATGTACAGCAACAAGCGTTGTTGGGTGGTGGTGGTGGTGCTGGCGGTCCTCCGGCTGGAGTGTTTCCCAACCCACCTCCTTCGCACGCCGTGTCGGCACCCAACATGCCAATGCTCGCCCCCTCGCTCGTAGCCGCAGCCACTGCCGCCCTGTCGCCTTCCCCTGCGCTCCAGCAACAGCAAGAGCTGATTCGACTTCAGTTTGGCGGCATGCAGCCTCCGATTCCTTTTGCGCGGCAGCCTCCGCGTGCGCCTTCGTCGCTTCCCAACGCTCAGTCTGCGCAGCTCTGATTTGAGCGAAAGTTTCTTGGAACTGCGTTGGCGTCCAGGCCGTTGCCGCGAGTTTATGCCCACGACGATCGTTCGTTTTTTGTGAAGTGTGTTTTGTTTGCAACGACCCCAGCTCTTTCCCAAGCGGTAGCTCTCATGCTACTACTCTTGGAATTTTTTCAGTATCCCTTTGCATGAAGAGATTTTTCGCGCCATGTCATTAGAATCTGTGTTTTTGTTTTTCCTTTTGTTATGAACTTTAATATTATTACTGTATTTTTTCGTTGAATTTCTTGCAACGGACATCATGCTGCGAAAGTTTCAGGGATTGAAATTATTGTTTTTGCTTTGTTGTTGTTTTTGTTTTTTATTCTGGTTTGTGTTTTGTGTTGAATCCGAATTAACATCTTTGTCGAATCTGAACTGTTTAGCTTTTTCGAGTCGCTTTCATCCAAATTTAATATCAGTCTTTTTTATTCTTTTTTTGTTCTTTTTTTCTTTCTTTCTTTTTTTTTTCTCCTTCCTGTCGATCGCTGCTAGTTTTTTCACCATGTCGCAGTCGATTGCAATGAGCGACGCTCATCTGCCTGTGGCGCCACAGCAGGTGCAGCAAGGAATCTACCGGTCAAAGCTCCCCTTTGAGAGCAAGCGTTTCCGCGGCCCTCTGTTCTGGTTCCCGTACAACGTGAACGAGGTCACTGCGCGCATCGTCTCCTTCCAGGTGTTTGGCCTCTGCATTCTCGGCATTGTCGCTCGCCAGGAGCCCTGGATGTGGTACCTCACCTGCGGCATCTTCTTTGACTTTGTTCTTCGGTACGAAACTCAAAACTCAAACACCAGCGACTCACAAACCCGTTTCGCTCAGCCAATCAAACACCCACAATGAACGCGCTATCATGCCCACTGGGTGATGATCTGTCTTGGATCACTCGGTTGGAGGTGATTGTGAGACCGGAGGGGACGGGGATCTTCAGAGCGTGATTTCGCATTGTATTGAAGGAGGGAGGAGTGGGAGCTCGTCGATTCCAACCCTGTCCGGCGAACGCGCTTCGGGATCTTGCTACGCCATTCCCCTAGAGAGAGAGCCCGCTGCAGACGCGGTGGACGACGCAGTAGGGGTGAACGGAGAGAGAGCGAGTGGATTAGCTCCTTTGGGATCTACAAACTCAGCCGACCCGTCGCTCTCAAAAGAGCCAGGCTTGCTGTCAGCTCTGTTGGCCGCTGCGGTTTTGCTGCGTTGTTGGATCTTCCGTGACTTTGCGATGGTGGGGAGGACTGACCATGCATGCAAAGCACAGCGAAACAGCTCAAAAGCAAAAAAAAAAAAAAAAAAAAAAAAAAGGCTTCTTTTGCTTTGGTTTTGATTCTTCGTTACTGCGCTTTGATGAAGAGCCGCTCGGCTGTCCGTTTCAAGATGGAAGCTTGTCGCTCTGATTCCGCTGCGGTGCTGAGAAACGCCGTCGCTGCAGCTCAAAATGACCGATCAACAGCAAGCCAAAAAAGCAAAACAGCAAAACGGTTTTTTTTTTCTTTTTTTTCTTTTTTTTCTTTTTTTTTCTTTTTTTTTCTTTTTTTTCTTTTTTTTTTCTTTTTTTTTCTTTTTTTTCTTTTTTTTTCTTTTTTTTTTGAATATTTCGATCGGTTTCTGATGCAGAGCACTGAACGCCGCCCCATTCGTCGTGATTCGGTGCATTGGAGGTCCCGCGTTGGTGATTGAAGCGTCTCTTTCTCTCTCTCTCTCTCTTTCTTAGGGTTGCTCGTCCTACTGAGAGTGGGGAATCGGAGCTCCGTTTCAACTGAGATTGTGAATGGGAGGCTTCCATTCCGAAAAAAAAATGAAAATTCATGGCGCCCTTCTGTTCATTGAGTGATGTGAATGAACAGCGAGAGAGATCCGAACGCTGCAGAGGTGGTTCTCTTGCGGGGATGTGTGTGTGTGCATCGAGTGTGGATGTGTGATGAGTGGTTGCTTTGTGCTCATCCTCTCTGCTGCAGCACTCTGAAAGTCCTTCTCTTTTCTCTGTTCTCTATTCTCTGTCTCTTCAATGATCATCCATACAACAAAGCATGCATGTGCTTTTTTTTTTTTTTTTTTTTTTTTTGCTCCCTCGACGATTTCTTTTTTTTTTTTTCTTTTTTCCTTGTTCGATACTTTCCATTCTTCCTTCCTTTCTTCTTTCGCTGCCACTCGTCCTCTTCTTGTCCTCATCATTCTTTGTTCCTCTTTTTTTTCCTTCTTCATCTCGCTCGCTTGCTTTCAATGCCGCGTCGGATTCATCGTCAAAGAAAGAAGTCGATTTCTCGGCTTTTTCCCTTTTTTTTTTCCTTTTTTTTTGCGCGCCTTTTTTCTCTTTTCGTTTTTCAAAAAAAAAAAATTCAATTTTCAGCATCAAAAACTCACGCCTTCCAAGAAAAAAAAACGAAAAGAAAAAAAAAAGCTTCAACACTGGTTTTTGCAATTGAGAAACAAAAAGTCAATCAAACGTGAACAGAATAACAACCAACATGAAAACTCACTGCTGACATCATCATCATCATGATCACGACACAGATTCATCGGCGGCGCTCGCATGTCCGTGCTCGGATCCATCGCAGAGTGGGTCGCAGCCTTCCTCCCCGTCAAGCTCATCCCCGGTGCCGGCAAGCAGTTTGCTCAGCTCTGCGGCGCCATGATCTCTGGCTTTGCCATCATTGCCTTCTTTGCGCCCAACTATGGCCAGTCGCCCGCTGGTGGCGCCGTCATGCTCGGTCTGTTGATGGGCGCTGCCGGTCTGGAGGCCTTCTTTGGCATCTGCCTCGGCTGCATCATGTTTGACCTGTTCATTCGCTTTGGTCTCCTGTCGCGTCATATTAACACGAATGCCGAGCACTTCTGGAACGAGCAGAGCCGCTTCATTGAAGAGTCCGACCGTCGCCTGAACGAGGGCAAGCCCGTTGTCCGCCTCCTCTACTCGACCCTCAGCCCCGACTCTGAGCGCACCATTCCTCTTCGCATCAAGGTGAAGACCGACGAGATGCGCCAGGAGGACTTCCACATTGTCAAGCACATGCACATTCACTACTTTGCCTTCATCATGGCGTCGATCGGCCTGGCCTGCGTCTGGTACGTCGCCTTGTCAATCAATACCAAAAACGAGCTTTGGGCGGGGTGTGTGTGGTTTTGTTCTTGTACCTTGCGCCTCTGAGCCTAACTTTTTTCTTCTCCTCATTCACATTCACAGGAAGGTCTCGCACGCCGTGCTCAAGACGGACAAGCAGCTGTGGCAAGGCCTCGGCATCTTCTCGGCTGTTGTCGGCGGCATTTACGTGCTCTTGTACACTGCCAAGATTGTCTTCTACCCGCGCAAGGTGTGGAAGGAATGGACCAACCCCAACAAGGTCAACTTTTTCTCCACCATCACCATCTCGCTCTTGCTGTTTGCCTACCTGTCGGTCGACGTGGAGCTCGACATGGCCAAGTCGCTCTTCTGGCTCGGTGCCTCGTTCCAGCTCTTCCAAGCCGTCATCATTACGTCGCGCTGGTTCCGTTTCCCGCAGTCGCGCGATGCCTTCAACCCGACCTGGATGATCCCTGCCGTCGGCAACCTCGTTGCTGGCATGGTTGCGCCGCTGCTCGACCCTGGCTACACGGAGGTGGCTTGGCTCTGGTGGTCGTTCGCCTTCCTCATGTACATTGTCCTCATCACCCTCTCGTTCAACCGCATCATGTTTGGTGGCGTTGTTGACGACAAGGTCCGCCCTTCGTACTTTATCTTGGTGGCTGCTCCCGCTGTTGCCTTTGTCGGCTACACGGTGCTCCCCGGCGCTGGCGGCGCCGTCAACGGCTTTGACGCCTTTGCCCGCTTCCTCTACTACGTCGCACTCGTCACCTTCTTTGTTCTCGGCTGGTCCTTCTTCCGCTCGCTGTTTGGTCGCCACAACTTTGACCAGAGCTACTGGGCCTTTGTCTTCCCGCTGGACACCATGGCTCTCGCCGCCCTCGTCTACCACAGCTACATTTCGACCCCCGTGTCGCAGGCCATTGCTGTCTGTGCCTTGATTATCGTTAACGCCACCGCCGTTATCGTGCTCGCCAACTCTGTCAACGCTGCCATCCGTCTGCGCGTCTGGGTGCCCGAGGACAAGTGGGGCCCGCTTTCGCTCAACAAGATTGTTCACTACGCCACTCGCGACGCCTGCGTGCAGCTGCTCAACCTCACTGCCATTTTCGAGGCCAAGAACGAGACCCCCACCGCCGAGGACATTGAGGCCTACCGTTCGCTCTACGAAAAGCTCGAGCACACGTTCAACGTGCACTCGACCCACGAAGACGAGATTGTCTTCCCAGCCCTCCGCCTCTTCCACCCTAACGCCACCCTCGGTCACGAGGAGGACCACGACCGCGAACGCGCTCTTTTCGAAGACATTTCTCTCCTGATTGGTGTCGGCGAGAAGGGCCGCGAGGCCTTTGCCAGCATTTCGGACGCAGACCGCGCCGACCGTCTCCGCCAAGTGGCCGACCTTACCAAGATGATGGTGGCCTCCACTATCAAGCATTTGGACGACGAGGAGAAGGAGCTTGGCCCCATCACTCGCAAGTCCTTCCCGCTCAAGCTGCAGAAGGAGATTGTGCGCAAAATGTTCTCGCGCACCCTCCCCGACGATCTTCGTCGGTACATTCTGTTTGTCTTGCAGTATGCACCCTTCCATGGCCAGCGCTCCCGCTTTGTGCAGTGCTTGCGTTGGTCCTTCCCCGAGCGTCTGCAACTCTTCGGCAAGTGGATTTACGAAGGCTCCGACCCGTTGGTCTGGAGCCGTATCATCACTGAGGTTCCCGAACTTGCGCCTCGTGGTGTCCAATACTGGCACCCCACCGTCTAAGAAGGCCTTCTTCATTTCTGAGGCTTTGTTCCCCCCGTGTGTGTCTCGCCCCCATACTGTTTTTTGCGCCTTATTGTTTTTTCATGGTTTTTGTGCTATTTGATGTTCCTGAGTCGCTGGCAGCAAGTCCTTTTGTTGGTGTGTTGTTTGTTGTTGTCGTCGTTCCGTCGTTGCTTGCTGGTAATTTCTCGATTGGGTGTCCAGATCCTGCCCATCTCTGCATTTTCGTTTTGCTTTCAATGTTGCGACTGTGGTGTGTTTGGGAAAAAAGAAACCTTTTCATGGATATTTCTCTATCGACCAATCCATCCTGCTTGACGTTGCGCTGAAACAGCACGAATTCTATTCGGTGAATACGAGACAAACAAGACACCAGCCCGGCAGGCATACCAGGCCAGCGCGAAACACACAATGGCCGTTGACAAAACACGCGAACAAAAGCAAAAAACATGGATTTGTGCAGATAACAAGAGTGTCGGTAGTAAATAGGTAAATAAGAATAATCAATGGAAGGCAAGAAAGAGAAAAAAGGGGGTGCCAGCAGAAGCTGACAACAGGAAGGGGTGAGAGAGGAGCGCAAAACACTCAACCAGAGAAAAAGGCAAGCCGCTCTTCTTCAAAGAGTGCTGGATCAATCAGACGCTGGAACGAAAAAACAGCATCACAGGAGAAGCTGACTCGCAATTAAACTGCCCAAGGATCGAATAGTAAAGAGCCTGTAAAGGACGAATACTGTTCAAACTGGGCATCGGAATTGCCGAAGGATTCATCGGCCGTTTTGCTGGGGGCTTCGTGCACGAAATGACACCTGTGGCCATAAGGGCAGGAACCGATTGCCTGGAATGATCGGCACAAGTTGGTCTTGTACTTGGGATGGCGCAGCACATTTCGGAGCTCGTGCGCGCCGTGCGCAAACTGGCACTTGTCCTTGTACTTGCAATAATTGGTGCTCTGGAACGAATGGCATAGCTCTGTCTTGTACAAGACATTGCTGGATTTATCAGCACGCGGTGGAGAAGAGTCCACCTCACTTGCAGCCGCATCCTGCCCAGCAAAGCTCTGCGTGTCCGAAACAACGGTGTTTTGTGCGTAATGCTGTTTGGTCGGTGACATTATCAAGCCACCCATGGTCATGGTAGAAAACGTCATCGATGATGAAGCTGACGATGACGACGATGATGCTGACGACGACGACGACGATGATGAGGATGATTGCTGTGCCATGTAAAGAGATGAACTTGGCGGAAGACCCTGGTCAGCCAGCATGGACTGCGAGCCAAGAACCCCAACAATAGGTGCAGCGGCAACCCCCGCCCGAATGGGCGATGACGGGAGTGTACGTACTGGAGCTGGCTTGCCGGCCGACGCTGTAGAAGTGCGTGACATGGCTGCAGCGAGCATGACGGACTCGGGAATGGGTCTCGCTCCGTTGCCAGCGAGCTGATGGAAATTGAATCCCGGAATGAAAGGATCCGCAGCGGCACTCAACGCCAGCGAAGGCAGTCCGTTTGCAGAAGTAGGTCCGGAGCCACCAGACGCAGCAGACGCAGACGGAAGAGTCACAGCAGCAGCACTGGCGATTGGAGTGACAGCGTGCAGCGACGGAGGCGCACTCGCAGCCGAGCCAAAGCCAGCTGCGCCACTCTGCCCCGCCGCAAGCGGCAACTGCCAGTGCGACTCAATCCCAAGCCAAGGGATGACATCGTGGTGGCTCTGTTGCAGTGGCGTTGCTCTCGGTGCGACCTGGGGCTGCTGTCGCTGCTGTTGCATATGCGGCTGGCGCAGGAACTCGTTGTTGGAAGTGGGCATTGCTGGGAGCTGCGATTGCGGCTGCAGCATCGAGCGCAGCAGCTGCGGGTGGCCTAGCGCAGACTCAAAGTGGTCAAAGAACGCAGGCTGCATTAATCCATTGATGGGAGGTGTCTGCAGCACTTGCACGCTCGGGAAGGCGCCGAATCGAAGCTCCGATGGGAGCAAAGCCTGGTCGTCCACTGGATTCATTTCGTGCCAACGATTAAAACCCGTACAACCCGCTCTTTCCCCGATGACAAAAGCTTGTTGGGTTTGAAAAGGTGTGTGGGGGGTGGGGTCTGAGCACGGATTTGTGAGGATTCAACGTGCCGCGGTTTCTTGGCGTGGCTTTTGTGAGAATGGCAAAAACGAAGAAAAAAGAAAAAAAATCGAATGAAACCCAACAAAATAAGACAAAAAAAAAACAGGAAAAGAAAGTGAAAACACGTCGCATTGATTGATTGAGCGAAACGGAAGGAACTGTGCAATGAATCGATTTGTTACAACGATAAGAAACGGCAAAAGAGCAGAAAAGACACCAAAGAAAAAAGAAAAAACTCAAAAGTCAAACGAAATACAACGGGAAAAAAAAAGCACTTCAAGCAAAGTTAACAACAGGGTTGCCGGGAGTCACAGAGTCGCGAGTCTTGGCATCGGCCTCGTCGGCGGACTTGACGGCCAGGTTTTGGACCTCCGAGGAGCGCAGGAGGTAGGGCAAAAAGTCGTTGAGCAGCTGCAGCTCGTCGAAGGGGGTGGTCAGGTCGAGGGCGGACGCGCCGAGAGCCTCATAGTTGAGCTTGAGCTGAGCAACGAAGGGCATCACATTCTTGGTGTGCGGGGCAAGCAGAGGCGTCTCCTTGATCTTGAGGTGGCCCATAATCTCCTTGTTGTCTGCGGGGAAGGTCTTGTTGGACGATTGGTCGACAAGGCCGGCAACAGTCTTGATGACGTGCTCCTGCCAGGCAGGGTAGCTCTTGGCGTAGAAAATGGTGCCGTTGAGGTTCTTGAGCTCGACAGCGGGGCCCTTGCCCTTGTTGCCCTTAGCGACAACAAGCTGGGCGCGCGCACGGAACGAGTGGGCGGTGGTGCTAATGTAGCGAGCCATCTTGAGCGTGAGCTCGTCGACGGCGCCAGCCACAGGCCAAGGGGCGTTGATGGCCAGCGTCTTGCGGCCAAGAAGCGAGAAGACGTGCTCGGCGTAGTGGGGGCAGATGGGCGCAATGAGAATGGACGAGACCTCGAGGAAACGCTCGAGAACGCGACGGTTGGGTGCGGACGACACCTCGCGGTAAAAGTCGCGAGCAGCAAAGAGCTCATAGTGGCCGAGAATGAGGGCCTCGCGGAAGTTCATCTTGGCGTAGGCTTCGTCGGCAAGAGCGATTGCGCGGTTGATGGCCGTGTCCAAATAGCGATCGGCGAACGAGCTGGAAATGTCCTCGTCGCGCATGGTAGGGAAGGCAGCAATGGTGGCCTGAATCCACTCGCACTGGGTGAAGAGGCGAAGGACGGAGGCGTTGGCGGTCTGCTCCGAAAAGTTGGCATCGTCGGCCGTGTCGCCAGCGTCGGCGAGCGTCATGCGCATGGCGTCGGCAGAGAACTTGCCAAGGCCCTCGAGGAGGGTCATAAAGTTGCCAGTCTGCTTGGACATCTTCTCATTGTTGAGAAGAATGTGGCCGTTGGCGCGAATGCTCTTGGGCCAGCGCTCGGGCTCGTCGGGCCAGATGGCAACGTGGTTGAAGAGCGAGAAGGTGAGGTGGTTTTGGACGAGATCGCGGCCAGACGAGCGCAGGTTGAAGCCGTACCAGTACTGGAATTCGTGGCGAAGCTTGTCGAGCGTTGCCTGGGGAATGGCAGAGCTGGCGGGGAAGGCCGACTTGCTAAAAAAAATGTAGTCCCAGACCTCGTGGGTCATTTGCTCGGGGGTGATGCCGAGCGGGCTAACGCCAGCGCCGTAGAGAGCGCCGTTCTGGAGGAGGTGTGCGACAGTGTAGTATGCCATGTAGATGGTCGAGTCGGAAAGCGACTCAATCAGGTAGGTTTGGTCCCATGGGATGCGGCTGCCGAGGCCGTACGAGCGCGAGCATGCCCAGTCGTGGAGCCAGTCGACCGTGATTTCAAACTGCTTGAGCGTGTCGGGGTTGTACGTCTCGAGCTGGCGGAGGGCAACCTTGACCTGGTCCTTCCATGATTGCATGCCATAGTCGAGGTACCACTGGTCAACCTTGGCGACAATGCACTCGTCGCCAGAGCGGGACATGACCTTGTTCTCGGGCTCGTAGTAGACAGCGGCGAGCTTCTCGTCGAGCAGCTGCTGGCGAACGATGGGCTTGACGTCCTGCACCTTGCCACCGTTGTGGGGGCCAAAGATAAAGACACCTTCGTAAAAGCCCTCGCGGTAGACCTTCTCCTTGGCGGCAGCGAGCTGCACGGCGTCGTTCTGGGAGGCAACCTTGAATTCATCGCAGGCCTTGACGGCAGCGAGGTCGCCCATGGTCGGAGTGCGGATGATGGGCACGGGCTCAAAGGGGAGGACCATCTCGTCCTTGATGCCATACTTTTGGCGGAAGGCCTCCTTGTTGCGGAGATCGCGGAGGGCGGCGTAATCGTCGGGGGAGTCTGACGGCACGGACGTGACAATGCCAGTGCCCTTGTCTTCCTTGATGCTCAGCATGGGAAGCACGTAGACTTGGCCGTACTTTGACAGGGGCGCCTGAACAAGGCGACCGACGAGATCCTGGCCGCTGACGCTGCCAACCTTGACGGCCTCGCCCTCCTTGGAGGACAGGTCTTGGTAGGCCAGGTTGAGCGCAGCGCGCTCGGTGCAGATAAAGACGTCCTTGGTGGTGGCGTCAACCTCGTAGGCACCATACTGCATGGTCGGCTTGACCCAGCAGTTGGTCTGGCCATACATGGTCTCGGGGCGGAGCGTGCCGGCAACGAGGAAGACCTTGCGGCCAGACAGCGACGCGAGCGACTCGGGCAGCGGCTCGACGAGCTGCAGCTTGATCAGGGTGTACTCTTGACGCCGACGCCCTCGCCAGACGCGCGATCGTGTCCATGCAGGGCTGCTTGTCGCGATTGAGTAAATGGTCGGGCGCTTGCCAAACTTGACATAGCCGCGCTTGTACAGGGTGTTAAACTGCCAGCA